TGATCCATAGTTGGCCATTTTGGAATCTCAACACCTTTTCCATTATGCTAACTACTGGCCCCATCTCCAGTAATTTTAATGTTAGGAAAGCATTGCTTATTTTTCCAAGGTTGAAACTTCAACATTAGTTTTGAAGAGCATGCCAAGTTTTTAAAATTTTATTTATTTCCAGAGTTCTAACTAGATTATCAAACTCTCAAATATTTATATCCTTACTACATACCATCAAAAGAACTTCTTTTAGAAGAAAGAAAAACACGTCAGTTTTTGTATGTTATTGCCTAATGGCCAACTGAATGAGAGTTGGCCATTATTTGGCAAAAACCAAAACAACACAAAACTCTTATAGAGGACCAAGCAACTGATGTAGTTAAAGCACTGGACTCCCACATGGCCAACCACAGTTCGAGTCCCAGATGCCATGGCATGTGTGCAAGCATTCCCAAAAATTGCAGGAGGCAAGTGGAGGAGAGGGGATTGCAGCATGGCTATCTCTCTTGAGGACAATTTCTCACTTTCCCTCTCTCTCTGGCTCTCTCACACTCTCTTTCTCTGGCAAGTACACATGCCCTATGGCAGAAACTAAAAAACAAAACAATATCATATATCTATCTATATCAAAGGTCCTGGAGAGAGAGATCTAAGACAGAGTCCTCAATTGGGTCAATAGCTTTGCCTGACAGTGTAAGGGGTCCAGCTGGAGAAATATCTACAGGTTTGTCTACACTGAACACTTAAATCACTGTCTTACTTGTTACATTAATATGTGACTGTGAAAAAAGAACAAAAAAATCTATGAAGTCCTTTCTCTTTGTCAGGCATTACTTATTGGGGAAAAAAAAGATAAATAAGACATTGCTTTTGTCTTGAGGGATTTTAAAACCATATTTGAGAACACTACTGTCTTCCCATCTAAAAATCTTACTTCTCAGCTCCGAGGAATTTTTTATAGACTGTGAGAACTAAATATTACTTGGGGCTGTGCAGTGACTGTACAACTGAATGTTACCCATTTTATCATCCATGGGGTGATACTAATGTGGCTCTGAGCTGAGCTGGCATGATGTGCACGTGTACCATCTGGCAATGGGACCACTTCCGAGATCAGTGTGTTCTGAGAGAGAGTCAAAGAATTAAGCAATTAATGATCTCAGAAGCACGGATAGAGACCGAGGGAAATATGTTCTATAAATATCACTGTAACCACTGAAATCTGTTTGAGGTCTTCCGAGTTCCCTTCGCAGCTCTACCCTGAGCATTAGAAAAATCTGGAGTTGAAAGGGGAGGATTTTGTTTTGGATTTCTTCCATCTTTGTCAAATTACAGATGCCCGTATAAATTTACTCAGGTTTTTCATGAGTTCCATGGCATCTGAGCATATAGAACTTTTTATTTCTTTCTCTTTCTTTTCTTTCTTTTCTTCTTTCCTTCTTTCTCTTTCTCTCTCTTTCTCTCTCTTTCCTTTCCTTTCCTTTCCTCTCCTCTCCTCTCCTCTCCTCTCCTCTCCTCTCCTCTCCTCTTTCCTTTCCTTTCCTCTCCTTTCCTTTCTTTTGTTCTTTCTCTCTCTTTCTTTCATCAATTTTTAGCTCACAGAAAACTGGAATGTTACCAGAAGAATTGCCACATTCATAGCTTCTGCTTATTCTACCCTCTTTGTGTATTTTCATAATGGGATTGAACAGAGCAACTAAAGGGAATTCTGAGGCCTTACTGATGTACAAGACAAGAGATATACCCCTTGTAGTTTCCAAAATTCCTAGACTCTGAGTTATGTGTTGAGTTATTATCATGGACCAGGGTCTCTTATGTTTCAGTCTTTGGAATACTCACTGTGGTTGATAATATTATTGTCAGTGATGGAAACAGGAGCTCAGGTAAGAAAATGATCATAAATCATATGGCTACTAAATTCTATATGTCTGGAGTCTACTTGGCTCAAAATCCTACATTCTTTCTTCCACATGCTGCTGGTTCCCCATACTGTATTTTCTGTTCATTCACTCATTCTTGTTTCCCTTTGGTCATTCATTTATTAAGTCCACAGCAGTATTTTCTGTATCTACTAGGTACAAAATGTTGTGTGAGATATTCTGGTAAATACAATGTAAGTATGACCCAGTTGCTGCTCTCATAAATTTCTAAATTAAGTTGGAAGATAAGACAAACACACACGCATCATGTGCGTCTAAGCTCTAACCGCGGTAAGAAGAGATTGGCAGGCAAAGATTTCTGGGATTCAGATGAGAGAGAAAGGTATTAATTTTATCTAGGAGGATCACATGAAGTACATTAGCTCTGAATGTGGTGAGAGGAATTTTATCTGACGGAGTGCTTAAGCTTCCTTGAAAAGAGCACAATATGGATAAAAGCCTCAGGATCGGGCCGGGGCTAATTCTCAGCTCTGCTTCCGCTTGCTGCAGAGCTCCTGTCCTCCCTACGCCCGCCCTAAAGTGTGTCAGATCTGGATGCCAGTTCATCTGAAATGTCTCAGGCTAGAGACTGTGTCTAGCTCTTAAAGTACTGCCTGAACAATTGGTGTTGGTAAACACGGTTAGAATGTACATTGGGCCAATTAGAATGGAAACAGTATGGTCTGCTATTACTGCTTTATTGCTAAAGGAACAACCACAACATCTCAGCCACGTTTGTGAAAAGCTTGTCTTTCTGTGTCAGTCAGTCAGCTGTGGTTGGTCAGCTGTGGTCACAGCCACAACTTGGCTCCAGTAGGGAGGCTCTGCCACCCACGGTGCATGTTGGTGTGCACACTCCCCTCTGTGGGTTGGACCCTGGTCTGGATGATACATGAAGTTCTGGGCCCGGGCCCAGGAGGCGGGAGCTTCTGGGAACTCTTCTGGTGCACCTTTGTAGCAACAGGGCAAATGTGTTCCAAGGCTCTGGTTCAGTCACATCTGCTAATGCCAAGTTAGCGAAGCCAGTCACATGGCCGGGCAGAGAATCAAGGGAGGAAAGGCCAGCTGCCCGGCGTGTTTGTTAGTTTCAGAGGGAACTCTTCTGGAGAATAGTGTGATCTACCACACTTACAATGAAAGAGAGGCAAAGAAGACAAAATCGTAAGACAGTTGGCCTTTCAGAGAAAAGAATGCACACACTTGAAGACAGCCAAAGGTGAGATTCTATTTACAAGAATAGCCAGTGCAGGAAGATTATGAGGCACACACCCCAAATCCTTGTATATGATGGGCTGAAGGAGGGAGAAACTGAGGTAAAGGGAGAAATTACAATGCTATTATCCTATGAAGACCTCAAATGGGGAGGTGACAAATGGGATATAAAGATGGCAAAAATGTAAAGGCTACTTCTGAGACAGAATAAGTCACTCTTGGCCCTTGACAGAGCAGGGAGGAGGAGTCTGAAGTAGCGTTTCAATGGAGCCATTAGGATACATGGAGAAGGGACAGGAGATGGTGTAATGATTGCATCTCTGGACTCCCATGTGGTAGACTGTGATTCGAATCCCAGACCCTGTGACTTGAAACTCACACTGGGCACATGTGCACCCATGTGCACCCACATACCCAAAATCCTAATAGGAGAATGGAGAATGGAGAATGGATAGTGGTGTGGCCATCCCCTCTAGGGAATGATTTCTCGCTTTGTCTCTCTGTCTCTCTGGTGAGTGCATGCACCCGATAGCAGAAATCTCTTTAAAAAAGAACAGAAAAGAGAAAACATGGGAAGACAATATTAGAGGTTGGGAGGGGACTCAAAGCTTACATAGGGATGGTGATGCATTGATAGAAATAGGGAAGTCAGGTACAGAGGTCTTAGGGAACAAAGAATGATGGATAGTGATCACGGTTGTATAAGAGCAGTCCTGGGTGGGACACTCAGAGCTGCGTGGATAGGGCAGAGCAAGCAAGCCTATGGATGTGTCAGAGGCCCAGGTGTGAGGACAGAGAAGAGGTTGGGGAGCAGAGGCATTCTGGTGGTTTCCTGAGTGGAGGAGGTGACAGCTAGCAGTTATGTACAGGGCAGAGGTGGCAGGAAGTAATAGGCACCATTCTTGGAGGGACATGGAGAGGGACCATCCTGAGAGACTTGAGGAAGGGGCAGGGTATAAGAAGAATGTACAGCTTTATCAGCATCACACATTGTATGAGTGTTCTTCTAACAATCCTAATTTGAGAGAGGATGGCAGTGGAGAATAGAGCTGGGGTTACTGGGAGACAAGGTCCTGGCTCTGTCTGATGAGAGGGCAGGTGGATGAGTAGCTATTTCTATCTGGTAGACATTCTGGAACTAGGGTTTGATTTAAGGTAGCTTAATTTTTGCTCTAACAAACAGTCTGATTTCTAATTTTTATTCTACTAAATTTTAGAATCTCTTATTCATGCACATCAATATATGGCTGTTAAACATTTTTCCAGATGTGTTCTGGTTTTCCTTGTCCAGTTGGCAGAAGATGCAGTGACCCTGAATGGCATTACTGTGTCCTCAGTGCCTTCTCTCGGTGTAGCAATGATCCGGCTAGGGAGTGGAAGGGTGTGTGTAGAATCCGCTACGAACACATTTAAAGTCCACAGAGAAATGCTCTGTAATTGCTATTGATAATAAGTTTCTGTGCTTTATTAAACAGAATGAATGTCAGTGTTTAGATAACTTTAAGGACACATCACTTCCAGAGTAAATCAGTTTTAAAATTTAGTAATGTTTTCCACTGTGCTTTCCTACTAGATTTCTTTACCCTTTGAATATTAGTTTAGATTTCTGTTGCCATGTTTCGCTTTTCCCAAATTTCTGTTTCTGACCTAGTCCAGGGTCACTAATCTAACACGTGAGTGTTTGAATGCTGTGGTAAGTGTGCCTAGGTTGATCAGTTATGCACATTGCTTTCTTTTCAGTCCCTTTACTGCATATAGAAATTGCACATACACAGACTTTAGAATATTTTGTGCACTTTAGAAATGATAATGGGTTAAATGCATTTGACATTTAATGGTTGCCATTTTCTTGTGTGTTTTTACCTCACTTCCCAACAGAACTGTGACCTGAGTCAGCAGAGCATTGTCCATGTTGTGCAGAGACCATGGAGAAAGGGTCAAGAAATGCACCCACCTGGAGAGCACAACCACAAGAGTGCCACTGGAGTCTCTATGAGGGAGCCTCAGAGCTTAACTCGTGTGGACCTCAGCAGCTCCATCCTCCCTGCAGACTCCGTGGGGCTGGCTGTTATTCTGGACACTGGCAGCAGGAAGGATTCCCCACCAGCTGGAGATCCAGGTAATTGCACCTACTCTGTTTAAGACCATCAAGACAGCTAGTTTGTTTGGTAAAGTCTCTGTGGAAAATGGCCTCACTCTGCACATACTCAGTTTATGATAAGTTTTGGATGAAATTTCCAAGTCACTACAGAGACATTTCTAGGAGAGTACATGGATCCAAAGTTCTAAGTGAATACATTTATGGATAAGTCTGATGTAAAAGGGTTGGTTCCATATTGAGACTGAAAATAAGGGGTAGATGGAAAAGGTGTCGAGACTAAGATATAATATATATTCATAAGTGTATGTTTCATTATTAAAGTTTATCAATTTCATGATAAAGAGAGAGAGCACCCCTAACAGGGTCTTTATGCTGTATCTACCCCCAGCCTCAGTGTGTCCTAGATTGTAGGCACATGTGCCCACCATACTCAGGGAGGTCTCTGGACATGAATTCAGAGCTTTCCCATGTTGATCAGACTTTCAGAGTCACATTTTAGTACTGTGCCATCATCTGGTACCTATAAATTTACTTTAGAGAAGCTAGGGATGGTAGAGATATTTGATAAGTTGTGTGAGGGTTTGGACCAATGATTAAGATATATACATTTCCCTCTCATGATTTGCCTTTTTAAAATTTCTTATTTTCTTTTTTTTTTGGGGGGGGGAGGTTTTACATATAGGGCATGTGTGCTCCCCAGGAAGACAGAGAGAGACAGAGAGGTAGAAAGTGAGAAATAACCCCTCAGGAGGGATGGCCACACCACAATCCCTTCTCCTCCATACTCCTCTCAAGATCTTGGGCATGCACAAACATGTGCCTGGTGTGAGTTTAAACCACTGGGTATGAGACTCGAACCACAGTAAACTACATGAGAATCCAACGACATAGCCATTACACCAAATGCTGGTCCCAAAATTTCTTATTTTCTAAACATGGATTTTGGCCAATTATGATTCCAGTGAGGCAGAGAATTTTTTTTAAAAAAAGGGAGAGAATGTTTGACCTAATTTTAGTCATTTATGAGTGTTCCAATATTAAGGATATCCTTTGAAAGGTATCTTCCCTTCCCTATGCTTTTATTCCTTTAAAAATCCCTTTCTTTGGCAAGGATGGTGATGCATTTGTTACTTTGACAATATTGATATGTTTCCTTTAGTCTGTTATTCTCCAATAGTCAAAGGTATAATGGGATTTCTTCAGACTGTGTATGATGAAGACACAAATAATAACTGGTGTCATGTGGTGGGAGCTGACTTTCCTCCCATGTGTGGTAGGTCAGGTGAGGCAGTCCTGGGCTACTTTGACCGTCAGAGTGCCAGGGAGTACTGGTACTAGCTTTGAATGCCTGAAATAATAGGAAATGCCTGCTAATCCAATTATCAAATAAAATTTAATGAGATTATAAAATCAAAAATGAGCTTAGGAAAAAAAACAGATAATTTCTAAGGACAAGCAAAATAAAATAAGTAGAAATAACTGTCTTTATTTCTTTAAATAGGAGAATGGATAATCCCTGAATTTAGGTGTACAAATTGATGATCTGATGGTCTTGGGGCGGGGAGAAGGGGATAGGATCTGCTTCACACATGCTGGGCACCTAAAGGACTAAAAATAAACCTGAGAAATGGAGACGAATATTTAATAAATGAAGGAAAGTGAGATAAATCTAATCCCCTGCAATGCCTATGAGATTCAAAATGAAAAAAACTAATATAAATACCAGACCTAGGCTAAAGACAGACTCAACATTCCAAGCAGAGCATGGATAAGATCATTCCAGAGAGTTCATTGAGGTTGTGTGCCAGAGATGCCTCCAGAGAAGAATAAGCCCTACTAAGGGGCATTCACAATCCAACATTATAAATCACACAAGGGAAAAATTACACCTTCGGACTGTATGGAACCAGAATATGTCACCACAAAATATGCCCCTTTAACATAAAGATTATTAAAGTTTATTTATTTATTTCTTGCGAGAAACAGTTTATGAGAAGTTGAAAGTGAGAGATAGAAAAAAAGATTGAGAACAAGAGTGATAAGTACCTCCAGCAGGATCTCACCAGCAGGTGAGATCCTGCTGAGACTTCCAGATTGACAAGATCAGAGGCACACCCAATGTGTTCAGGTTGACCTGGAATTGAAGCCCAGTACATGAGTTTAAGCAAGATAAATAAAAAGTATGCATTTGGTCTTGAGCAAGATAAACACAAAAAATGCACTTTACAAAAGAAGCAAAATACTAAAGAAGAAGAGATCTTAAAGTCAAATATAGAAGAGATTATCTAGACTAGAACAATAATTTAAATGGCTTCTAACAGGAATTATAAAAGAAAAATGATAGTTGAGTAATATCAAATTACTGAGCGAAACACGTTTTAACTTAAAATGTTATACCCAGCAAAGCTACTGTTCAAGAGTAGAGGAAAATAAAGATATTTAGACACAGTTTATTTGCTCTAAGTCTGAAAGAACTGTTGAAGTATTTACTACAGGAAAGAATAAGTTTTAACCCCAGATGAGGAAATAGAATGCAAGGGATGATGCTCACCAAGTAGAATGTAAATATGAACAGATCTACATGAATATACATGTAAAAAATAATATTGATCAATGAAATGGGAACACAAACAAGGTGGAACCAAAACACTAGATAAAATTAACATTTCACAGAAGGCTAATGAGCAAATAATGTAGAAAAATGCTCAACCTCTCACCAATAGAAGAAATGACTATTAGAACAATAGTATCATAACATTGCACCATTACCTAATGGGGCAAGATTTAACATTCAGACAATATCAAGTGTTGGTTAGGATATAGGACAATAAGTACTTTTATTTTATTTTAGTTTTAAAAAATTTTTTATGCATTCAATCACATTATTTAGCTTATAAAGTGAACATTTCAATATGTGAACATTTCTCCCTTTGTCCAGTTGATCAAAATATCTTCAACAGATAATACTACACCTTCCTGTCTCATCAGTGCTCTGCCTCCATATCCCTCCTCCAAATGTCCTTCCCCAGGCCCTACTCCTCCACATACACCACATCTGACATTCACACCCATCTCTTGTGTTTGTACATCCTTTAATCAATCAGTTTCAGTCATAAAGTGCAGACACTTGGTATATATAAAGTGGGGACATACAATGTCTCTCCTTCATAACCTGACTTGCTTCACTCAGCAGCAAATCTTCCATAGTCTTCCACTTTCTGTCAAAAGCCAGGGTTTTGTTGGTTTTCATGGCTGAATAGTATTCCACAGAGTATATGTGCCATATTTTTTCAATTCATTCATCTGTACGGGGACATTTGGGTTGGTTCCATGTTTTAGCAATCATGAATAGTGCCACAATAAACATCGATGTGCAAGCACTTTTCCAATGAAGAATTCTTCTGTCCTTTGGCTAGGTACAAAAGAATGGGATTGCTGGATCATATGGTAGTTCTATTTGTAGATTTTTGAGAAATCTCCAAATTGTTCTCCACAGAGGCTGGACCAATTTACATTCACACCAGCAGTGTAAGAGAGTTTCCTTTTCACCACACTCCAAGCAACAATTATCATGTTTTTTTTTTGTTTTTTTTTGTTTTTTTTGTTTTTTTTTTTTTTAATCTTAGGCATTCTGATTGGGGTTAAGTGGTATCTCATTGTTGTTTTGATCTGCATTTCCCTTGCAATGAGGGATGTTGAGCATTTTTTCATATGCCTTTTGGCTATTTGTGTGTCGTCTTTAGAGAGTGTTTTTTTTTCAACTTCTTCTCCCATCTTTTAATAGGGTTGATCATCTTTTTTCCAAACAGCTGCTTGAGTTCCTTGTGTTATCAGTCCCTTATATGATGCATAATTTACAAAAATATTTTCCCATTCTGAGGGCTGTCAATTCACACTAATTACTATGTCTTTTGCCATGCAGAAACTTCTTAGTCTGATGTAATCCCACTTGTCTATTTTGGGGATTATTGACTGTGTTTTGGGGGTGAAGAGGTTTTCCTTTTCCCACTGGATTGACTGGTACCCATTTTCAAAAATCAGTTGACTGTCTGTTTGGGAATTTATTTCTGGGGACTCTATTCTGTTCCATTGGTCCACAGGTCTCTTTTTTGTGCCAATTACCATGCTGTTTTGATTACCACAGCTTTGTAGTATATTTTTGGGTCAGGGAGTGAGATGCCGCCCACTCCACTCTTCTTGTGTAAAATTGTTTTGGCAATATGGGGTCTTTTATGATTCCAGATGAATTTTATGATTGTCTTTTCTAGATCTGTGAAGAATGTGTCTGGTACTTTGATTGGCATTCCATTAAGTATGTAGCTTAATTTGGGTAGAATTGCCATTTTGATTATATTAATTCTTCCCATCCAGGAACATGGGATTTCCTTCCACTTTTTTGTGTTATTTTCAACTTTTTTTTTTTTTAGCTTCTCATAGTTTTCTTTGTGGAGGTCTTTAACTTCTTTGGTTAGATTTATTCCTAAGTATTTTATACTTTTTGTTGCTATGTAAATGGAATAACTTTTTTTCAGTTCTATCTCAGTCTGCCTGTTGTTTGTATATAGAAATGCTATAGATTTCTGTATATTGATTTTGTATCCTGCAACTTTACTGTATTTGTGCATTACTTCCAGAAATTTTTTCATGGAAACCATTGGGTCTTCTATGTATACAATCATATCATCTGCAAATAGAGAGAGTTTCACCTCTTCTTTTCCTTTTTGAATGCCTTTTAATTTTTTCTCTTTTCTGATTGCATTGGCAAAGACTTCCAGTACTATATTGAAAAGGAGTGGAGAAAGTTGGCATCCTTGTCTTGTACCCGTTTTTAGTGGGAAAGCTGTCAGCTCTCCTCCATTCAGGATGATTTTCACTATGGGTTTTTCCTAGATAGCTTTTATTGTGTTGAAAAATGACCCTTCTAGGGACCAGCAGTTAGTGTAATGGCTATGTCACTGGACTCCAGTGTAGTTGACCGCAGTTCGAATCTCGGACCTGGTGGATTAAAACTCATGCCA